CCCTAATTTCTTTTTCATTTACTTGTTCATGCAGTGAAGAAACTGAGGAGGCATCTCAGACTCCTTCCCCTTTTTCTCACCACTGCCCTGCTTCCAGCTGATAACCAGGACCTACCGATAGCCTCTAGCCTCTAATTACGTTATTCTCCATGCCAACTATCCTTTCTTCTGATTTCTTGTTTCCGACACTGCCAAAAGCTATTTCTCTGACATCCAATGGCAATAATCAAAAAAGTCCACCCAAACTTTATGAGCTCTTTGCAAGGCCCAAACCCCACAGCCTCACTACAACATGGTTTGGAGATCACGATGACCAATCCCATGATATCTTCATCCCTGATTGTGTCACTCATCAACAGCCTCTGAGACCATCTCTCCAGGATCACTCCTTATCAGCCTGACTTTACTGCATCAAGGCTCTGTAAATCTCCCTTCTCAAATACCCAATCCTCCCACTGTATCCTCTCAACTTAAAATTCATCTTTAGCTAATCTCCTATATCCTTGGTCTCTTTTATGAATATATCCTAATTAATCTTAGTTCTCCCGAAAACACTACTCTCTTGCCTTCTCAGTAGGGTTGGCTTCTCTCATAACCTTCTTCCCCATCTATACTGTCTCCCTAGATTGTCTCCTCCAATCTTGTCCCTGGATTCCAGACTCCCACACAAATTTACCTAACGCGTCCACTTGGGTGCTCAGAAGTCATCACAACCTTAATACACCCAAGGCCAAAGTCTGATATTCCTTCTCATTGTTCTCCATTGCAAGTTAGTGCAGTTCCACCCTATTAAGCCAACTAGCACTGGTATAATTCTGACTCTTCTCCTTCTTTTCCACCCCCATGAAATTCCTCAGAAAGCCCCCTGACTCTTACCTTCAAAATCTATCCAGAATTGGGACCAGCAGTTAGCGTAATGGCTATGTCGCTGGACTCCCACGTAGTCGACCGTGGTTCGAGTCCCGGACCCGGTGGCTTAAACTCACGCCGGGCGCGTGTGCGTGCGTGCCCAAGATCCCGAGAGGAGAATGGAGGAGAAGGGATTGCGGCGTGGCCATCCCCCCTGGGGGGGTGATTTCCTGCTTTCTATCTCTCTGTCTCTCTCTGTCTGTCTGGCAAGCCCACATGCCCTATAGCGAAAACCTCTCCAAAAAAAAAAAAAAAAAAAAAAACACCTATCCAGAATCTAACCATGTCATTCCACCTTCGTCACCATCTCTCCTAAATTTGGCTATACTCTTCTGGACAATCTCTCTGCTTCTAACTTAGACTCTCCACCACCGTTCTAGCCAGTGAACAGATTCAGCTAAAACTTCAAATCACAGCAATGCTCGGCTCCAAACTCTGCCAAGGCTTTCTATTATGCCCAGTAAAGCTCAAATTTTTAGTGTGGTTCATAAGTACTACATGACTTAGGGACCCTGTGACCTCATAAACTAATCTTTAGCATGGTCCCACTACTGGCCCTCTTGCTACTCCCTGTGTGGCAAACACACTCCTGCCTCAGAGCCTTGGCATTTACTGTTACCACTATATATGATGCTAATCTCTCAGATAAGCATCTGGCTCATTTTATGTCTTTCTGTTTTCTGCTCAACTGTGTCCTAAACACAAAGTCCTCTTTAACCATCTTATACGAAGCGGTAACCCCCACTTCACCATTGTCACTGTTATGCCAAATCCCCTTTACCCTACTTTATTTTTCTCCAAAATACTCCGTACCACTTAAAAGGCTGTATTTTATTGTCTCTAGCCCTTTGAAATAGAAGTTCTCTGAGAGCAAGAATTTGTTCACTGCTTTACTGAAAATATCTAGAGCATTACACATAGCTCATTAAAAAAAAAAAAAAAAAAAAGAGGGCAGGCAGTGGGACAGAGATAAAATGTGACGTCTCTCTCTGTCTTTCTGGCAAGTACATGCATTACACAAAGCTCATTAAAAAAAAAAAAAAAAAAAAAAAGAGGTCAGGCAGTGGTACAGCAATAAAATGTGACTCTGCAGGGCCACTTGGGATTTCTAGGCTTACCTCAGAAATCTCTCTGAGCACACCAAGTGTATGCGTGCCATGCCCACAGATGGATGAAGCCGAGGGTAGATTATGTTATCAAGAACCTATGGGAACCAGCAGTTGGCGTAATGGCTATGTCGCTGGACTCCCACATAGTCGACCGTGGTTCACGTCCCGGACCCGGTGGCTTAAAACTCACGCCGGGCGCGTGTGCGTGCGTGCCCAAGATCCCGAGAGGAGAATGGAGGAGAAGGGATTGCGGCGTGACCAGCCCCCCTGGGGGGTGATTTCTCGCTTTCTGTCTCTATGTCTCTCTCTGTCTGGCGAGCGCACGCGCCCTACAGTGAAAATCTCTCAAAAAAAAACAAACAAACAAAAAAAACCTACTGAGGGTGCTGTCTCTCTCTCTCTTCCTGTCTCTCTCACTTATAAAAGTAATTAATTTGTTAAAAGATAATCTTATTAAGAAAATAACTGGTTAAACTAAAATAACACTCATCAATGTGATTTTGAGTTAAATGGAAAAGTGAGGAAGGAAAGGTAAAAGGGAGGGAGGGAGAATGGCACGGCAGCTCCATCTCACACCCCTAAACATACCTCAGTGCTGAATCAGTAGCATGTGCTGCTGTTGTAGTGATAACCGGAGACTGAGCTCTGGTGGCTGAGACAGTTGCCACCACAGCAGGAGGGATGGCATTAGAGGTTGTGACAGGTGGACGTGACTGCCAAAAGAAGTTAAGGAAAAACATTTAAAACAAAAAGTAAAAGCCAAATACTGAAAGTTTAATTTGAAACTTGGGCATTCAGTTAAGTATGTTTATGTCCAAAATGAAAACAAATTCTCACCCTTCTGAATAAGAAATTCTATTTTCAAGTAAGTTGTTATAAGAGTTAGAATAATCAAAACATCCTAATTTGATTGGACAGTACATCCTCTCAAAATATGAGTGGAGTCAAAATTCTGCCCTGTGGGAGCCAACAGGTAGCATGTAATTTAAGGTGCTGGATCCCACATGGTTGACTATGAGTTCAAATCCCAGATCAGGCAGCTTAAAAATCACACCAGACATTATGTGTGTGTCCCCAAAATCCAGAGAGATGAATAAAGAGATTGCTGCATGGCTATCCCCTATGGTAGGTGATTTTTCACTTTCCCTCTCTCCTCCTATCTCTGGAGAGCACATGCAACTTATAGGCAAAAACTAAAATTAAGAAAAAAAAATCTGCCTTACAACTAACACAAACTAGGATTTTAACCAGGTTTCCATTTAACTAGATTTTCCACAGCTATGCTATTGGTCTGGGTATAGACATTTTATACTATCACCTAATCAGCAACAGCACTGTGGGCTCTCAGGCCACCTAAGTTGCATGAAAATGGCAGAGTCACAATATTCTTTGCTAGTTGAAAATCCAGGGTATTCACTTTCCACATGTTCTCATTTGGATGTAATGCCTTTTTTTTTTCCCTACCTCTCTGTATAAAATCTTCATGTGACAGCTCCAACCTGGGATGCACCTGCTTGTCTAGTGTCATTCTTCCATTTGCTTGAGTTCTACTGATTTGTCCTTTTTTTTGGTTAATTGGCCAAGGGTGAATGTGTTTGCATGCGTGACAGAGAACGCCCCAATGGGGTGCTGTCAACCACAATCCTTCTTCTTCCTCCATTTCTCTATCCTGTCAGGAGTTGAGGTATAAGTACTCGCACATTCAACATGTTTCTTAAGCCAAGGGCAGGATTCAGATAGTGTTTGGTCATGTGGGATTCAGCTCTGTATGCACAGTACTTACCCACTGCACTATGGCCCTATCCCTCCTTCTTGACCTTGATACATGCAGTAAATCACCAACCTCTGAATGCTCTGTGTTTTTGCTTGTCACCACCAGCGCTTCTACCTGCTGCTCTTACTGAGGACAGTTGCCAGCCTCACAAGGGGCTACTGTACCATCTTTTTCTCTAGTGAGTTCCCTATCTTGTCTTTCTTCCATCCTTCATATTCACCACACATACCCTTAGGTGCCTAGTTGCCCTGGGCTTTGTTGGCCAGCAAAGTTTGCTGTTTTATTATAACGTGAAAGCTTTGGAATGGACTTATACTATCCTGGTCCTTATCAGGACTCTTCTTGTTGTCTTAAGCATGGCTGCTTTTACGCATTACCTGCCTGTTTGAATTTCCACCTCTCTATGTAATTTAGCTAGATTACTCTTTCAAAGGTTATTTCTTTGACCAATATTAATGTGTTAAAAAGTGGCTTTCTATGGTCTACAAAATAATCTTACACACACTGTGTGAGTCTCCCCAGTTTACACATACCATATTAACACCTATGAATATATTACATTTCACCAATAATGATGCCATAGATTTCCTTAACAAACAAGCTGAAATGCCTGGATGAGGGAGTCTTCAAAAAGTCTGTGGAAAATGGGTATTTTGAAAAAACTATGCAGATTTTTAAAATTTTTGCATCAAAACAAACCTATAAATTACTTTCACTTTTCCCACAAACTTTATGAATTTCCCTCATATATACATAAAATAATGCATAGACCTTTTTAGAGGTTCACAGACCCTTTTCCAGATCAAAATCCCTCTCTAATCTAGCTAGACTTTACTAAACACTGTCTATACACATCCCTCTTCCTTGCCCTTGTTCATTCCCCTTCACTTCCTCTTCACTTCTCTGAACCCTCATTACCACACCTGCCCTTACAAAAAGCCTTCCCTACTTCCTCTCTTCTGCATTCCTACAGCTTTCTACATGACACTATCTTTTAAACTCTCCTATACGTTGGCAACTAGATTGAAAGTCACTGAGGCCAAAGACTTTACTGGGCCTGACAGAGTAACTCCAACCAAGCACCGACACCTGCTGGCCAAGAACCCTGACCCCTACATGCCTGGATGGGCTGGTGAATGATGTGCTGGACTGCTGGCTGAGCTGTGGCAGCGTTTGGCAACTGCGAGGTCGGCCTCAGGACCGTGGTTACCTTAGAACTGGACATCACGGCGGCAGCAGCTGCACCTAGAAACATGTTTTTATAAGCACTGGTTCATAAGGCTCACAATTAAACAGATCCCATTATATTCCCAAGGAAAATCAGAAAAATTTCTAAAATTCAGATAGTATGTTGGCATTCAGCTGAAGCAGGTTCTGTGTATTTCTCATCTCATCAAATGGAAGATTAAGAAAATGTGTACTCAAGGGTTGAGATTTAATAAGTTTAATATTTTGCACTGCTTCTTTAAGGTCATTCTTAAATGAAACTGTTATTTTGTTTCATTTTATTAAGTGCAGTGCGCAGCAGCAAAAGTACATAATGCACAGGAATGTGGCACTACTGTGTAAATTCTGGCGAAGGCGCGAGCATTTTACCTACCCGACAGTGGACACTTCATTTTACCCACTGCTTCCTTTGCACCACTCATGCAGATAGCAACACTGGGAAACAGGCAAACAGCATCTTGGTGCATTCTCACAAGTAGTTTTGACCCTCAGACCCCTGTGAACCATACTTTGGGAACCAATGTGTTATCCTGACTAAATAAACCTGGTTTTATGTTTGTTAACTTGATTTTGTCAACAATCTCCAGCTATTTTACACTCCTCAATGGAAGGTAACAATTTCTGGACTGCACTCATTAAATGCATTACCTCACAATCTTTTAGACCTATAAGAATAAACTAATCTTATTCTTATGTTAATAAAAATAATTAACCATTAACACTAGCCTTTTAAAACACTCAGCATTGATATTTATGATTTATTTATTTACAACGAAGACCATGTTTAGACTATCTTAGCTTTGAGGCATTTCTCCTCTGTTTAAAGAACAGGGACTGGCAGATGGCATGGTGGTTAAAGGCGCTGGACTTCCGCATGGCTGACTTTGGTTCAAGTACCAGACCTGGTAGTTTGCTTTCTCACATCATCTCTCACTCCTTCTCTCACTCTATCCCTTCCTGGTCAAATTAAAATAAATAAATAAATGGATCAAGTTAAATAATTTTTAAAAAGGGGTTTTGGATTTTTTTTAATGTACATTTATTTTATGCTAACAATGGAACTGCACACAATGCTTCGATAAAGTGACATCCTTCAGATACTTGGTGGTTTTTCGGATATGCATACCCTTGATGGCCTGGGCAGTTTCACAGGTGTTCTTAAAGTAAACACGAAGACATGAACCTCTTGACTTGCATGATTTGGGGGGGTTCTCTAAATCAAGTGAATAGTGAACAATCTTCAATGATCACCTCAGGCTACTTACAAGAAGAGTGAAGAACATTAAAACCATACCAAAAAATTTGAATTGCTTTAACACAAACAAGCTGCTGTGACACAACTATAATAAGCACACACCAGACCATGCGAAAAAATGCATAGTTCTAATTTATCTCTACTGTCCTGCAACTTTACTAAGCTGATTCTGAATATGTTCTGCGTTACCCTATCTTTTACCAAATGTGTATCTGCAATTGTCTTCTTGGAGTCTGAGAAGTGCAGTCTTTACCTCGAGGTAAGTGAGAAGCCCCAATGTGAAGAGGCGGCCCAGGAGCGTTGCTGCGGATGATCGACATCTGCACATTCGTGGTCATGATGTGATGCAGGTTACTGGGATGTCCCTGGAAGAAACAGGGAGTAATGTTATTTTCACGTGCTTGGTCTTAGCCACAGCCTCTAGGAAGTCAGTTGCCTCCAAATGTGGGTCAGGGTGTTCCCTTTACACAGTGAGTATCCCAAGGGAAGGGCTGAGGACTCAGCTTTGGCTTTTTTGGCACATCACACTGTATAATGATAAGTGACAACAGGCACGTGAGAAGTGCCTGTAAGGTTTCACCAGCTGCTTTAGGTCCAGTGAGCTGCTAGATCCCAGGAACAGATGACATCTTTGGCCATCTACTTTTAGAAGCTCTCCTCTGCAATATTAGCCTTTCACGCTTGTTTTCTCTGCCTGGGCCCAATGCTCTTTTCCCCCCATTCTCACTATCTCCTTTAAAGAGAACGGGGAAGGGACTATATTCACTCATTCTTTAGGCTACACAGGAGATCTCTTGGTTGGCATCCAACAGGGACTTCCCTGCACCTTTTTTCGAGAGGTTTTCGCTACAGAGTGCGTGCACTCGCCAGACAGACAGAGAGACATAGAGACAGAAAGCGAGAAATCACCCCCCAGGGGGATGGTCACGCCACAATCCCTTCTCCTCCATTCTCCTCTCGGGATCTTGGGCACGCACGCACACGCACCCAGCATGAGTTTAAGCCACCAGGTCCGGGATGTGAACCGTGGTTGACTATGTGGGAGTCCAGCAACATAGCCATTACGCTAACTGCTGGTTCTCCCTGCTGCTTCTTCTACTCACCCCTCTAATGTCCCCTCCTTACTTCTCCCAACTCTCTGATCTGTGCTTCTCCAGTGGGGGATCCCAACTTCTGCAAGTACTCAGCAGTATAGAAAAAGAAAAAAAAAATGCATCTTTCTGGAGTATCAGTTTTTCTTGAAAACATGAAAGGTGAAGTTTTCAAGATTTCTGAGGTTTTGGTTTCTTTCACAGATAATTTAAAATACTTTAAAATCCAAATACACACAATGGATTTGGATCACAACATTGTAGAGAAAAAAAAATAAGGTAAACTTAATATAGGAGACTGAAATCAGCGTTCACCACTAGAGGGCTGCCTGAAGGGACCTGCCAGGATCCCTAGACGCGGTCCTGTTGTCCTTGGAAAAGCACATGGAGAAGCACCGCAGACACCACTGCTGTGAGCTTGTTCTCTACCCAGAACAGGGACCTGGATCCTCTTACTGAGATGTGCCTTGCACACTGAGGAAAAAACTTAGCAGATAGCAGCAGCTCAATAAATACTGACTCAATCACTACTGTACACTGGTTGCTTCTCCTAAGCTATTCTTCTCTTCCAAATCTACTATCCTACCTTTGCACACATCAGTGAATGTTTATTTTCTTATTTGGTATAGTGCCTAATGTACTGCTGGCATTCAGTAGATGATGATCAACCGTTTGGTATCTCAGTTTGAAAATCAGCAAATTAAGAGGAAAAACACCTGTTGTCCACTGATTGTTGCCACAGGAATGGCTGATGCTTGAGGGATGCTACTCTCCATGGTAACGGTAACCTGCCCTGGAACCTTGGGAGGAAGTGACAAGGTAGAAGGTGGAGCAGGAGCAATGGGACGGCTAGGCATGGTAGGCTTCGGGGGTGGCTGTAAACAGAAAACCACACAAAACTTATCAATAGCCTTGTCCTTATGGTACATTTCTCTACAGTTAAAAGTACACAAATCAAATTGGAGCATGCCAGGGAAGGTGCCATAGCCCCATACGTTTCATCTCTTAGCATCACAGCTTTCCCAGTGAAGTACTAGCATTTCCAGTTTACAGATGATGAGACATACCAAGCAAGACAAGGTGTCTGCTCAAAGCCACACAGTAAGAACTAGATCTGGGAATAAAGCCCAGATCTGTATGGCTCATAGCCCACGCCCTTTCTCCTATGCTACTCTGCCTCCCATGTTTGGGCAGAAGTAAACAAAACTCGCAATACCTGAAACATAGCCCCCATCGTAACAAACAAGATGATATTCTCAATACCCCCAAACCAACTATGAAAACAAACCTTGGAGAAGAGTATCACTCCAAGATAAAACTCACTCAGCATACTCATAGGCTGAATAATATCAGTGTCAACATGAATGACAGCAAAGATCCCATGATGCCAACTGCCCAACAGCACAGACTAGGCACCGCATAACAGCAATCTTTGCATTATATCCAAGAGCTGAACTGATGAGTCAAAGGAGAAAATGAAAATGAAGGATGCTCCCAGGACACAGCCTAAGAGTTTATGAAAGCTGTTACAAATGTCAGCCAGTCTTTAGCTGTGGTTCACTGTGAAATTTTAAACCTAGGCATTACCTTCATGAGTCCCTCTGAAAATGAGAGTGGCACTGCTGGTGTCAGGTGTGCTGGCGGGGCTGTCACTGCGACAGGTGTGGCCGATGCAACGGCATGGTGTGTAGACAACATCTGCACCTGTGGATAGGGCCTTACCACAACAGGCTCCTGCTTCTCCTCCCGGGACTGGAGGGAGCTGCTAGAGCCCATGTGCTCCCGGCCACTGACATCAGCATCGCGACCAGGTTCGTCGTTGACTGGCAAAAACATTGAGGCAAGACAGTAAGTTGCAGTCTCCTATTGTTAACTGATGTGGCTGCATGGACAGCTCAGAGCTGCATGTGCATGCAGTTAAGTCTCAGGGCAGGGGATGGCAAATGGCAGCGTGGTGATTAAGGCACTGGACTCCCACATGGCTGACCGCAGTTCGAGTCCTGGACCTGGCAGCTTGCTTTCTCTCTCTCTCCCTCTCTCCGTGTGTCTCCCCTGGTCAAATGGAAGAACAATAATAATAAATAACTCTTAAAAACAAAAGTCTAAGGGCTGATGAACTGACCATTTCCTTGTGAGGTTTTCTTAAGGAGAATTTAGGCATTGATTATCCTGATGCAGATCAAATCCAAGATTCACAACTGTGGAAAAGAGATTTCTTCAAAATACCAAGGCTTTCTACCCTTCTAAACAAAGGGTCTGGCAACCATCTAAAAAGAGCTCAAATAGTTGAAAGTGTCATACAGGATATAAGATAATAACAGTTAAAATACTTTTTAAAAAAAGTCTTGGGAACCAGCAGTTAGCGTAATGGCTATGTCGCTGGACTCCCACGTAGTCGACCGCGGTTCGCATCCGGGACCCGGTGGCTTAAAACTCACGCCAGGCGCATGTGCGTGCATGCCCAAGATCCTAAGAGGAGAATGGAGGAGAAGGGATTGTGGCGTGACCATCCCCCCTGTGGGGTGATTTCTCGCTTTCTGTCTCTATGTCTCTCTCTATCTGTCTGGCGAGCGCACGTGCCCTGTAGCAAAAACCTCTCCAAAAAAAAAAAAGTTAAAAAAAAAAAAAGAAAAAAAAAAGTCTTGACTCTAGGGACCAGCGGATTGTGTAATAATTATGTTGCTGGACCCCCACATAGTTGACCCATGGTTCGAGTCCCAGACCTGGTGGCTTAAAACTCATGCCAGGTGTGTTTTGTGTGTGTACCCAAAATCCTGAGAGGAGAATGGAGAAGAAGAGAATGCAGTGTGGCCATCCCCCTGGGAGGTGATTTCTCTCTTTCTATCTCTCTGTATCTTTGGTGAGCACACGCATCCTATAGCAAAACTCTCTCTCAAAAAAAAAGTCCTGACTTTAGAAAGATATTTTAAATATACTTACTAACTCCAGGACGTATTTTTCAAGAAGAGAGGCCAGGGATGAAGGAAACACTTTTCACTGTTCACTATTTTTCTTTTGGAATTGTTAATCCCAAGAATATATAACTTATTTTTAAATTATGTTTAAAAATATCAATGAATATAGGCCAGAAGGTGGTGTGGACATTAATGCAGCTGGATCCCACATAGTCAACTCGTAGTTCGAGTCCCAGACCCAGTGGCTTGAAAATCACTCCAGGTACATGCGCACACATGCCTCAAATCAGGAAAGGACAATGGGCAAACAAGAACTGCTGTGTGGCTGTCCCCCTGGAAGGTGGGTGGTGGTAATTTTTTAATTTCCTTCTCTCTCTACTTCTGTCTCTCTCCAGTGAGCATATGCACCCTATAGCAAAAATTAAAAAAAAAAAAAAGAACAAATATTAATGTAATTAAGGAAATTTGTGGGGAAAACTTACTCCCATTTGTCTATCACTTTTCCAAAATAATATTTTTTTTTGAGAGATTTTTTCGCTATAGGGCACATGTGCTCGCCAGACAGACAGAGAGAGAGACAGAGAGATAGAAAGCGAGAAATCACCCCCCAGGGGGGATGGTCACGCCGCAATCCCTTCTCCTCCATTCTCTTCTCGGGATCTTAGGCACACACGCACACACGCCCGGCGTGAGTTTTAAGCCACCAGGTCTGGGACGCGAACCGTGGTCGACTACGTGGGAGCCCAGCGACATAGCCATAACGCTAACTGCTGGTTCCCCAAAATAATATATATTTTTTAAATATTTATTTTATTTAGTTTATTATTTATTATTCAGTTTTACCAGAGAGACAGAGAGAAAAAGAGAAAGTGAGGAAGCAAACTGACAGGTCTGGGACTCAAACCATGGTTAGCCATGTGGGAGTCCAGTGTCCTAACCACCACACCACCTGCTGGACCCTTCCAAAATAATATTAACATTCTTACTTTTCTGAATGTAAAGATAGTATCTTTATGTAGGATATCTACTTATGTAGGAAAACCTAAATTATTCAGAAAGCAAAGCTGTTCCTAAATCCATCTCTGAAAAGTACCAAGAATTAATATTTTCTTTTTCTTTTTTTTTTGGAGAGTCTTTTTGCTATGGGGTACGTGTGCTCACCAGAAAGAGAGAGAGAGACAGAGAGACAGAAAGCGAGAAATTACCCCCCAGGGGTGATGGCCACGCCGCAATCCCTTCTCCTTTCTCCTCCCTTGGGCACGCACGCATACCCAGCCGGTGTGAGTTTAAGCCACCGGGTCCGGGACTCAAACCGTGGTCAACTACATGGGAGTCCAGCAACATAGCCATTACACTAACTGCTGGTCCCAAGCATTAAAATTTTCATAAAACCTTTAGATATTTCTCACCTTTTAAGTTTTGGGTAGGTTTCTATTTATTTAACTTTTTCATTGCAATAGAGCCTCCATAAATATAAATGCACAAATGTTCACTGTGCAGCTCAGTGAACTTTTGCAAACTCAATATACCTGAGTTACCAGCTCAAAAAAACAAAGTATTACTGGTTCACCAGATACCTTGTTCATTCAGCCCCTATCCAGTCACTATTCCTCCAGAGGATACCCACTAGCCTAACTTAGAACACCATAGATTAATACTGCCTATTTTTGAACTTTTATAATCATTATACCACTGATGAGCTTTTAGGCTCCCCCCCTCCAAATTCCCATTAATCCAACAACCTTGTCCAGTGCTCTCTTCAGTACAAAATTTCTAAAATTCAAGTGCTTAGTTAAATAAGCAAATGTATATTTTCTATTTTGCTATACCGTCATCCCTCAACATTCGCCAGAGACTAGTTCGAAGATACTGCTCTCCCACCACAGATACCAGTATCATATCTGTGGATGCTCAAATCTCTCATGCAAAATGCTGTAGTATGGTCGGCCTTCCACATCCTCCTTTATCTGTTAGTTCCACACAGAAGTCAGTCTGCAGGTGGATGAATACGTGGATGCAGAACCCACAGATGTGGAAGCCACAGATACAAACGGGCAATTTTTCTCCCTTCGCATCAGAACTTTTAAAATTTTTATTTATAAAACCACTTCAGAGGGGCTGGCAGGTGGCATGGGGTTAAGGGCACTGGATTCCCACATGGTAGACTACAGTTCGAGTCCCAGGCCTGGCGGCTTGCTTTTTCACTCTGCAACCCCCGCCCCCACCCAGTCAAATTAAAAAAATAAAAAATTAATAAATATATTCTTAAAAAAAAAAAAAAACTACTCTAGTAAAGTATAAGTACATGTTTAATTTTGTTAAGTCTAAAGCACTTTCCAAACCATTGTCCCATTTTATATTTCCACTAGCAGTATATGACAGTTCCGATGCTCCTCATCCTCACCAACGTCAGACATGCTGCCCTTCTACTGGCTATGCAGTATGCATTTCATTATGATTTAAATGAACATTTCTATGATGAGTAGGAATGCTGAATATCTTCTGATTTGATTATCAGTCAATCATAAATTTTGTCTATTGTAAAGTATATATAATTTCTGGACCAGTAGCATGGTGGTTAAAGGTGCTAGATTCACATGGCCAACAGCAGTTCAAGTCACAGACCTGGGGGGTTGCTTTCTCATTTCCCTTTTCTCTCTCTCTCTAGTCAAATTAAAAAATAATAATAACAAATGAAATTAAATAAATAAGTTCTTCTTAGGAAGCATAATTTTTTGTCCATTTAAAAAATCAGTTTTACTAAGAAATGATTTACAAATAAAGTTCACTAATTCTTTATGCCAAAGTCATTATACTTTCACAAAAGTATATGAGGGGACTTCTAAAAGTCTCTGAAAATTGGAATTAAAATACAAGTTGATTTCAGTGTGAAAAATTTTGAAAACCATGCAGTTTTTTTTTAATACACACATTCATAAGCTTTTTGAAGACCCCTTGTACTGTAGTATAATACAACCTAGTCATGATCAGAACATTTTCCATTCCTCCAAGTTTACCCATGCCCCTTTGTAATCAATTTCCTCCCTCCTACTCCTTAGAAACCATTAATCTGCTTTCTGCTACTACAGCTTTGTCTTTGCAATTTCCCACAAACAGATTCCTATAATCTGTGGTCCTGTGATTGGCTTCTTTCCCTTAGTATGTTTCTGAGGTTCATGAATATGAACCTATTAGTTTTCTGGACCTTTTTATTACTGAGTAGTATTTCAGAGCATAGATATATCACACTTGCTTATCCAGTCATCAGTGGATAAACATTTGGGTTCTTCTCAGTTTTCAGCTATTATGTATAAAACTTATATGAAATCTGAGCATAAGCCTTTTTATAGACAAATGTTCTGGACCAGCCAGGTATTGCAGAGGTTAAGGTAGTTGGATCCTTCATGGTTGACTGTACAGTTCAAGTCTTAGGACCTGACAGTTGGAAAAATACATGAGGCATGTATGCATATATGCCCAAAATCCCAAGAGGAGAGTATGAAAGAAGGAAATGTGGTGTGGTCACCCTCCTTGAGGGGTGTTTTCTTTCCCTCTATCTGGCAAGGGCACATGCCCCACAGCAAAACTAAAATAAGTAAGTAAAATAAACACATGTTCTTATTTATCTTAGGTAAATACCTAAGGAACAGGACTTCATAGTGGTGTGGGATATTTCATTTTATAAGATATTACCAAATTGTTTGCAAAGCAACTAAACCATTTTGAATTTCCACCAATAATGCACTGGTTCTACTTACTCCACACATCCATTCCGATACTTGGGATGGTTGATCTTTCTAATTGCAGTCATTCTAGTAGATGTGCAGTAGTTTCTGTACTTTTTTTTTTTTAAAGTTTACTTCTTTTACTAGACAGAAAGACAGGCAGGCGACCACCCCAACAGGATC